TCTTTATTTACATTTCAAATGTTATCCACATTTGTAGTTTCACCCTCAGAAATGCCCTATCTTATTCCCCCTCTTCTGACATCTATGAAGGTGTTCCCCCACCTACCCACCCATTCCTGCCCTCCTATTCTGCTACACTGTGGCATTAAGCCTTCACAGGGCCAAGCACCTCTCCTTCCACTGATATCCAACAAGGCCATCTTCTGCTACATATGTGGCTGCAGCCATGGGTCCCTCCATGTGTACTCCTTGGTTGGTGGTTTAGTGCCAGGGAGCTCTGGGTGGGGGGTGGCTTATTTGGTTAATATTATTGTTCTTCCTATGGGGTTGCAAACCCCTTCTTCTCCTTCAATACTTTCTCTAACTCCTCTACTGGGTACCTCATGCTCAGTCAAATGGTTTCTAGTATCCACCTCTGTATTTGTCAGGCTCTGGTAGAGCCTTCTCGGGAGACAATTATACCAGGCTCTTGTCATCATGGACTTCTTTGTATCCACTATAGGATCTGCATTTGGTGACTCTATATGGGGTGGATCCCCCCATGGGGCAGTCTCTGCTCTGAAATTTCAACTCTCACCAATCCTGCTGCCTCACTAATGGGACTGTAGCCAGCCTGACAATAGCAAACAAGGCCATGGCAACTCTTGTCCTTTTTCCTCAACACTGTGCCTTGCATAAAACCATTAGTTTACATTTTGAAAGGTATCCCCCAAAGTCCATTCCTTTTTATGGTGGTTTCCTCTTCTTGAGGCTCCCTACCAGGGCCCAGCTCTCAAGTCGTTTGCCTTACATAATTATGAAGCCCAATTAAAATTAAATGCCTCATTCTCACATGGAGTTTACCTTTTATGTTTATAACAAGCCTTCTGCTTATAGGCTAGCTATTCTGTCTCTTCTTTATCCTGAGGCAGTTCTTTGCTCCTGCCCTGTCCCCCAGGGACAAACAGTTCATTACCCTCTCTCTTGTTCCCTTCCCTTTCTATTCTTTATCATTGTCCTTTTTCCCTTAACCTTTGTCCCTCTGGGGCACATAGGTCTTCTCTGTGCTGAGAATTTGGTCTTAGGGTATCTTAGGCTGACTCTGAGGATACCAACATGATTCATTCCTGACTCCAGCCAAAAATACCATTCATTCTGTATGGGCATCCCTCCAAAAATCTCATGTGTTTAAATTGTCTTAGGCTATTCATAGAATCTCATAAGAGCAATCTGGTACTTTTTTTTTTTTAAGAAAATAGCCTGGCATGGATGTGAGTATATTCAATCTCATCTTTCTAGAAGGCTCTATAGTGGAAAATTAGACCCATAACAAGCCAGTGAGACAGAGCCCCTGGGCATTAAGTCCAGAGACAGTGGCCAGCCTGGATATTAATGAAATGAACTATAGAATGTAAGGAGACTGTGAGAAGTTCCATAGAGAATATCCTCTTCCCCTCAGCCTACAGTGAGTCACCTCACTATCTAAAAGAAGTTGCAGTACACATGAAGGTTGGGAGTCCCCCACAAGGACCTGTCACAGGGAACCAGGGCATAGTGTTAGGACATAGTTCTCTGCCTCAGGAGGGACGCTTTCTTAGAAAACATAAAAACTGTTATGGAAGTATGAAGAACTAGATTAAGGCTTAAGGTAACATCATGTTCTTCTCACTTTGATACCAGGTCTCTGACAGTTCATTTGTTGCAAATAGTCTTTCAGCAGAGGTTAAATACAAGGTCATACTAACTAAAATGTGCCTGCCTTGGTCCTCATGCTTGCTGAATATGCCTCTCCCCTTATCCCATTTTTCTCCGTAACTAAATCAGTTGTTATGGTCTGAGTGTACTACATACTAATTTCTTTCCAAAACATTGAGCAGTTTATCAAGCTCTGTGCTTTGGGTCCCATTTATGAGACCTGTTCCTGAGATGCAAGGAACTACACAAATCTGAGATTGACCTAACTATGGTGATGAGGAATTAAGAAACTAGACACAGGTACAGAAAAGCTATGAATGATTATGCTCTGTGCTCTGATAGGGACATACCAGCAACAAAAAATAGTTATTAAATATCAAAATATTTATTGTATAAATCAAAAGGGGAGGCAATTTCCTCATGGAAAGGTGCCTCTATTAAAATACACACAAACTATAATAATCCTAGAGAAGAAAAAGTGCTTGATAAAATCAGTAGATGCTACATTCATTTACCAGCTCAGAGGAAGACCTTGCCTTTCCAGTGTGTTTCAGCCCTATAGGTGATTGACATTTCCATGCTCCATTCAGCAGTGGACATTCACTTAGGATTTCAGCAATCTCCAATACTCAGCTTCCATTTCTGTCTTCCACAAGCAACCTTAACAGTAGTTATAATTGAAAAATGCAACTTTGGCTTCCCAGATCATAAATGTAGTACCCACCACACTTAGAACATTGGGTTGTTTCAAAGGTGACCTCCTTGGGCTTTCTTTTGGCCCTGAGTATGTCCAGGAGCTCAGGACAAAAGTTTTCTAATCTGTGTGAAAGTATTACACCCATTTCATAGCACTCCAGAGGGGCAGGGTATATCTCACGTTCCAGCTGGCTCAGCTGGGCTGTGTGGTGTAGAAGTTCTTTCAGGAAAAGCAGAGAAAAGTTGTTATTACAGAAACTGACACCTCTGAGGTGGAAACATTGGCTTATGGCAGGCAGCAGGGTATTAATCTGAGAGTCCTGTATACCACATGCCTCTAATTCCAGGTATTGCAGGCTATGTCCAACTCTCTGAAGGAAAAACCTGAGAGGCTCCAGGTGTAAATAACATAAACTAATATCAGCAATTTTTATCGATTCGAGCTCACAAATATTTCGGCAATAGGGCAGGAAATCCAAGTCTGACTGTGAGAGGTTACAGTCAGTGATGCTAAGTGAATCCAAGGGTTTCTTCAGGCACCTGAGGAGAGAACACATTATTGCTTTCTGTCAAATGGTGTTGAAGAGTGTTCATAGAATTGGCAGTTAAGCAGATAACATTTCTCCCAAACTCATTCTGAATTCACTTTGAGAACAACCCTCAGGACATAGCCTTTTGTTTTCTGCTCACATACCTCACAGCATTCTAGTCCGGATCTTTAAGATATCACCATAACCATGACTCAGCTCCTGACAGAAAACCACAGCAATGGATATATCAAGGCAACATGGAATATGTAAGAAGGACTAACTACCCTAAACAAAATTCAACAACTTCCTAGTACTGTTTTAAAAAGAGTTCTACGAGTTTTTTTCCCTCCAAGTTCCATGATTTTGTCTTCGTCTTGAAACCCATTGTCCCATATTTCTCATCTTCTCAATCTGTTTGTTAACTCAAAAGTTTTTACACATAGACAATAAGAGGTTGCTTGTGCCTGGTCATACAGATCTTAGCACAGGGTGCATTGCTTCGAGATGCTATGTCTCTAATAGTGATAGGTTTATGTTTGCCAGATCATAAAAGCTTCCATAGCTTGCAATACAAACCAAACATTACAAAACAAAACAAACCACATCAAAACCAAGGCAAAAGAAAAGAGATTTGTTTTCTCTGGTCAACTACTCGACCCTTCCTTACCTGAGGAATCCTTTCAGGTTGCCGTATATAAAGGAGACATTATTTACAGAGATACTCTCCAGGCACTGGAATATGGGAAGTTGAGAAATTTCTGAATCACTTAGGGTATCTGTGATGTGACTTAGTGTAAGATCGAGAAGATTGTTCATCTGTCTCAGGTAGGGATTAAGAAAAGCCAAATCTTCTATACGAAGATGAAGCAGCTCCAGATCTTGTACACAGTCTGCATGTAAAAAGTTGAAGATTTCTATGACTGTGGCTTTGGTTAAGCCCTGAATCTCTAGCCTTCTACAGCACAGATGAATTGAATCTTTTCTCTGCTGGGCCCACTGCAACAAGTATGTGGCAGATTCATCAAGTCTACCCTCTATCAGTTCAAGTTGTGTTGTCAGCTTCAATTCTTTCTTCACCCCACAGCCAGGACTATTCTGCATTGGCTGTTTCTGTGTCATGAATCCTGGTAAGTCTTCATAGGATCGAGTGCATATGCCATTAATATCATGATATCCATTCCTCCAATTGATCTCTCTGAGTTTGCACCTACTGTGGGAGAAATGAATATAACTCTCAAAAGGTAAAAGAAGACATATTTGATAGTCTGATTCTACTCTACATATTACATTTAAGCTGTTTGGTTCAAAACTTTGATTTCCTATGTCTAGAATCAAGCCCTGAGACTCATGTTCAGTGAATGAATAGCATTCTTTGCAAGACAGGCATCTTTAGCCCATTTTTACTTCCCTTCATGCAAAGCTCCTTAATCCCACTGTCATTTCACTTGTACCTTGAGGGATGCAGGAAACACCCCACTCCTCTTGGGTGTGTCTATTCTTGTCTGTCTAAATTATTTATTATTTGTCCAGAGAGTTGAGACTAAATCCAATCCTCTACACCTTTCTCAGCCTCTACATTCAGAAGAAAACAGTCCAGACTGTGGGTAGAAGAAACAATTGATGATCAGAAGCCTTTGATCCACAGTTGGCCAAATATTCTGTGTCCCTAGTTTCTCCTCAGCACTCAAAGAACCTTCCTCCAACCCCAGAAAATCTTGCCTACCTGGAGTGAACCTTTTGTGCAATCAGTATATCTAGTCCCTCAAGCACAGCCTTCAAAGTCTCCAAGTTGAGGTTTTTTATCATCATTCCTACAGAAAGGTATGGGTAGGGCCACACAGGTATCATGGCTGTCAAGACCTTTGTATGTCCATTAATGAAGGCCTCCTCAAACATCACTGGGAACAGAATATTGGGCAGGTCCTTGAGAGCAGAAATGGCCAAGGCCTCCTCCCTCAGTAGCCTCTGTCTTGCCAACTTCTCAAGGGTGAGTGGAGAGTAGACTTTCATTGTGTCTTCTTCTAAAGACTCATCCTAAGGAAGCCACAAAAAATATACCATGAATGACAAGAAACATACGAAACCCTTCTATACACACAAGGAATTGTGAGGGCTAGATTACTAATGATGATAGACAACTCAATCTGTCAATTTGAGCACACTCAGGTTTGTTGTTGTTGTTGTTGTTGTTGTTGTTTGAGATAATATCCTTACAGAACTACCTATGTGTTTGACTGTCCTAAAACTTACTTTATTGATCTCAGTAGCCTGGACCCACAGAGAATTGCTTGCAAGTGCCTCCCAAGTGTTGAGATTACATGTGGGTTCCATCACTGCTCAGCCTGGGCCACCACAGCAGGTCTAATCTAGAACTGCTTGGTTTGGCCTGTGCTGGTTTTATAGCCATAATTCTGTCTAGTGGTATGATTTTTCTCCAAAGTATCCAAGTTCCCAAAGGACTATTCAATTGCAGCCACAGATGGAGTGAATCCATCCCACTGGGAAGGGATCATGATGAACTCTGAAGCTTGAGCCACTTGTTGGATGATGATTGTGCTTAGCTTTCCAGGCTCTCAAAGAAAGTGAGGAAAATAAGCTTCCAGAGTTTTTACAGTCTTTATTTATCCAGCTACCCTGCATGGAATAAGTCACCTCATCTTTGAAATTCCCATCATTAGTTATTGACATCAATCTTTGATTGTGACCCTGACAGGACTTTTGGAGAAGGTGTTGGTAAAGTTCCAAGCTTGAGATCTGCAAACTACAGAGCTAACAGAGTGGGAAAAAACACTAAAGTCAGTTATCCTTCAGTAGCCATTGACATGGTTGGTGACTCTTTATAAAGCATCCGGAATAAAGAGACTATGAGGTAGAGATTATAATTCCTGTATAATTCCTGTGCTTAAGGTAGGAGGCTCTCTAGCTCAGTGTCATTATTGGTTACTTCTACAGCACCAAAACAGCTAGCCTGAGACCTGCAGAGTCTAAAGGAAGACCAAACAAAGGTAAGAAAAAGGAGCAGATATTTTAATTGATATTTAGATTTTTCTGTTTGAACATTTAATAACAATAATAATAATAATTAATAATAATACCTGGTTTCTTTCTGAAAATTTAAAGATATCCTGATTTCCTTGAAAAGACTAGACCATGTATCAATCAGCAGGTAGAGATAACTTGTTCATTTTTTTTTTTGGTGTTGTTGTTTATTGGTTTCGATTTTTTCCTTCTTTGAGACATGGTCTTATAGCTGTTTTTAAACTTTCTATATAAATTAGGCTGCCATCAAACTTAGTGACTATCCAGCTTCTGCTTTACTGTTGCAGTCAAGAGTAGGTTTATGTGGAGAGGAGAGATCGAGACTGTGGTTGTGATATAATGAATATTAAACACACACACGCACACATATACATAAGTGTGTGTATATATACATTTCTTTCTGGAAGTTTGAGGACATCCTGAGTTCCATTGTAATAAGAGGCTATTTATCAGTTAGCAAATGCAAATACCATTTGTTTTTTGGTATTTTGTGTTTGTTTCCTTGTTTTACATTATTTATTTAGTTATATATCTATTTATTTATTTATTTATTTATTTATTTATTTAATGTATATGAGTACACTCTCTCTGTCTTTAGAGACAACTGAAGAGAAAGAGGGCATCAGATTCCATTATAGATGGTTCTGAGCCACCATTTAGTTACTGGGAATTGAACATAGTACCCCTGGAAGAGCACTCAGTGTTCTTTTTTTTTGTTTTTTTCAAGACAGGGTTTCTCTGTGTAGCCCTGGCTGTTCTAGAACTCACTCTGTAGACCAGGCTGGCCTCAAACTCAGAAATCCGCCTGTCTCTGCCTCCGGAGTGCTGGGATTAAAGGCCTGTGGCACAACCACCTGGCAGCACTCAGTGTTCTTAACCACTGAGCCATCTCACTAGCCCCTTGTTTTGCATTCTTAAAAAACACATATAATATCCAGCTATTTTGACACTCACAGCCTCCCTCTGGCTCCCTGTTGCTGGATTAAAAGCACACCAAATAATGCCAGGCTTAAAGTGACATAAAAATCAGCACTCAAGGCTCTTGAATAACTCATATCTGATATTCCAGCCTAGAGTGCCTACAATTCAAGGTCAACCTTTCATTCTTAGCTAGACTGTCTCAAAAAACAAAAACAAAGCTAAATGAAACAAAAAATCTACAGAAACCACAATAACCCAATTAATAATTAGATATAATAGAGAACACACTTGGATATTCTGGTTAAAAAGGCCTCAGGTGGCTGAGGTAGGAGACTTTCTGTGAGTTCAAGGCCTGGCAAACTTTTTTTTTAAATTTCCATTCCAGTCATTGCTCCCCTCCCACAGACCCTCATCTAATTCCTTTTCAGTCTTTCCTCCAAGAGGATGATTCCCTCCCCCACCCCAACCTTTCAGGTATCCCTCTTCTCTATGGCCTAAAGTCTTTCCCACTGAAGCTATATCAAGCAGTCCTCAGCTATATATGTAGTGGGGGCTTTGGACAAGACTGTGTATGCTGCCAGGTTGGGTAGCTCAGGCTCTGGGAGCTCCAAGGCTTCCAGGTTAGTTGAGATTAGTGGGATTACTAGGGGGTCACCCTCCCCTTTAGGTTCTTCAGTCCTTCCCCTAATTCAAAGGTAGAAAAATCTCTAAAGACAAAGAGGCATTTAAAGAAATATTCAAAGTCCTTAGTCTTCAGGGAAATGCAAACCAAAATGACCTTGAGATTCCACCTTACAATAATCAGAATCACCAAGATCAAAACCTACAGTGACTGTACTTGCTTGTGAGCATGTGGAGAAAGAGAACACTCCTCCATTTCTGGTGTGATTGCAAACTGGTGCGCGCACTCTGGAAATCCATCTGGTTGATCATTAAATAATTGAAAACACTTCTACCTGAATAGGCAGCTATACTACTCCTGGTCATATACCCAGAAGACACCCCACCATACCACAAGGACACTTGCACCTTTACGTTCATAGCAGCCTTATATGTAATAGTCAGAAGCTGGAAACAACCCAGATAGCACTGAACTGAATAATGGATACAGAAAATGTAAGTCATTTCCGCAATAGAATACAATCCAGCTAACAACAAAATGAGGACACAAAGAATGTTTCAGGCAAATGAATGGAACTACAAAATATCATTGAGCGAGGTAACAAAGACCCAGAATGACATGCATGGTGTATACTAACTGGTAGGTGGATATTAGCCAAAAAGGACAGAATATCTAGGATACCAGCCAGGCAAACTTACTTAGAGCACACTCATCTTAAAAAAGAAGAACCACCAAGTAGAAAATTATATGAACAAAATTTCAAGTGAAGATAAGGCTAGACTAGGTTGCATGAGATGAGATATCTTTATGGAGCTGAGGAACTTACTTGATCTGGACACTGGGGACAGATCGCCATATTCAGGCAGAAGAAGGTTGTAACTCCACGCTTCAAGAGTCAGACGGTTTCTCTGCCTGCTATGACTCTTTATACACCTTTCAGCTGAACCCTCCCGTTGTAGCCACGCCCTCCCAGCCAAAGTAGGCCTCGGATTAAATAATGGAGTCTCCACCCACTTCCTTATTTTCAGATTTGGATGATGTAGAAAAATTGGATCAGATCAGAAAACAGGAAGATTCTTAGGCCAGAAAGTTAGTCAAGAAATGATTTATTGAAGCCAAGCTGTTGTGCCTGATACCTTTAATCACAGCACTTGCAAAGCAGAGACAGGTGGATCTCTGAGTTCACAAGCCTATGACACTTATCCAAACTGGTTCTGATTATATATTGTGGTCAACTCCCAGGGCATGGCCTTCTTTTGTCTGCTCACATATTTCATAGCATGCTAGTCTGAGGCCTGTGAGTATTAGCGTGAGCATGAATGAGAGCATGGCTGGAAATCATAGCAATGACTGTATCAGGCCAACATGGTGCATGTAGGAAGGTCTCTTGCATCCTCCATAAGCACTTATCCTTATTCCAGTCCCCACCCAGTGATTCCTATGTATACTCCATGCTCCAGCACTTCATGAAAAATGAGAGTGGATGGACCAAGTTGGTAATATTTACTCTTCTTTCCTGTGTAGGCATTCCTAACATTCTTTTTTGTTTGATTCCTTCTTCTTTGTCTTGCCATATAGTCTAGAGTGGTCTTAAAGTCAAGAGAATCCTGTCTCATTGTGCAAGTCCACAGCTATACACAGAAAGAGAAGAGAAAGGAAATGAGGGAAACCATTGTATGTTGAAGGATTCAATAGCATGTCTATCTCAGATTCACATTATTTCAGGATACTCGTATGTAGGCACATTGTTCCAGAGCAGCTTAGAGGAAATTTAAATGCCTTGGTTCACTTTTAAATTTCACACACAGTCTGGATGCACAGGCAGGTGATCACTACCTCACAGAACTTCTACCTCATTCTCCAAATTAGTATAATATAGCCCAGAGTCCCACAGGACCTTGTAACAACTTCAAAAGTAAAGAGTAGAGCCATACATTTCAGAGATTCTCCTCAGTCTCTGCTTGGCAGACTCAATGTGTGGAAATCAGAACCTGGGTTTTGGGTCTATGACAGTAGGACTGTCTATTTTGAGGGCCTTTATACATGATCAGTGTCTTTTTGCCATGACAAGATCCTGGTCACATTGCCTTCTCCTGAATAAATTTTCCAAAGGGAAATGAGATTCAAAGGAGCAGGGTTTGGTACCTGATAGGACAAAGATTAATTGTACCCGAGTCAGTGCTTGTGAGAGTCTCCACATGGTAAGACTGATGAGTGTTTGGACTTGAGACCTCTAGAGAGTACAACAGGACACACTGAGTCCTCTATTATTGCAGAGAAGGGACTCTGGCCTTGTGGTGGTACCTGACATAGGTGAGACTTATACTTCCTAAGGCATAGCATGAATATATGGCTCCTGAGTGCTTTACCAGACCCCTTCTGACTCAGACAAGTCCCTGTGGAGAGGTATGCTGATTTATGTCCTGAGCTCCTGGATGCACAGAGCCTGAAGTCAGCCCAAGGAAGCCCAAGATGCAGAAACCAGCAGCTTCAATCAAGTCCTCTCAGCAAGCAGACACTAGGCAGGAACCTGCATCTGTAGTTCAATTTTGAAGAAACCACCAGGCTTGCCAATTGGTTTTAGGAGTTGACATAGAAGCAGCCAGCTGGCACAGGAACCACACAAGCAGTTCTAGGCAATTGCAGCATTATCTCAAGTTGAGCTCAACATTACAATGTCAGGCAAACCAACAAATGGGTGCTGTTAGTAAAAATTAGTGGGAAGAGCTTTCCAAACCAAAGCTTAGTACTGGTCTACTACTGTCTGTAGGGTCATATCTACTCCTTTATCAAGCAACCTTTACATGTCCACTATATTAACACATTCTTTCACCTGTGCCTGCTTCAGGAAACTATTCTTCACGTGTCTGCTTTAGCAAGATATCCTTTCACCTGTATGCCCCAGCAAAACATCATTTGATATAGCTAACTTTCCAGAGAAAATGGAAGTTTCTACTTTACTAGGGAAGTAGATGCAGGGATATCTCAGAGTTGGAGGCCAGACTTTTCTATATAGCAATTTCCTTTACAGACAGCACTACACAAAAAAACTGTATAAAGAAAAGAAGGGGGAAAAAAGGGAGAAAAACCAAACCCAAAAAAGCCAAACTAAAAAATATACTTTTTAAATGAAAAGCACTTGTGAATCTTTAATTACAAGATTGTTCCAGCCTGCTGTGAATAAAAAGTACTGCTTAGAAATAATCTTCAAGCCAGGCAGAGGGGGCACACGCCTTTAATCCCAGCACTTGAGAGGCAGAGGCAGGTGGATTTCTGAGTTCGAGGCCAGCCTGGTCTACAGAGTGAGTTCCAGGACTCAAAAAACAACAGCAAATAAAAGGATATGAAATAATCTTGAATTCAATTTTGCTGTATACGTCTGTATATATACATTTATTTATTCATTTATTTATTCAATCATCCATTCATTCATTAAATTACTGGAGTAATAACTCATTTATCAGACTTTAATTTTTGTTCTTATTTTTTGTATGTGTGTCTTTAATGAGAAATGTTAACATGGATCAAAGTTCCCAGAGGCCAAAGGAGTAGGATCTCTCTGGATCTGGAATTTTAGTTGTTGTGAGCTACCTGATATGGGTGCTGGGAATTTTATTTGGGTCCTTTGAAAGACTAGCTTGTGCTCTAAACATATGTGTGTGTGTGTGTGTGTGTGTGTGTGTGTGTGTGTGTGTGTGTGT